TATAGTTAAGCTTGGTAAAAAGAATATGAGTAAATTTAGATAAAATATTTTTAAATGAGGTGTGAGCTATTTCAAAGAGGATAGTAATATCTTTGTTAACAGATGGGTGTTGTTCATAAATTAGTTCTGTTAAGAATTTGGGTCATTGTCCTGCTATTTGCTTGATTAGGTAGTCGAAGCTATATTTAACTTCTGGTCTGTTTGCTTTCTTGTTAATTTGTCCTGGAGAAAATCAACTAAGAATGGTTTTACAAATTCAAAAATTTGTTGAGCAAGTGAAGTGTTAAATTTGGTAAAGGGTTCCATTGTAGAGGTAATTGGATAAGTTTAAAACCAGTCAAGATCCTTTGATGTATCTTGTTTAGGATATTTCTGTTTTTCTTTTATTAGTTGTAAAAAGTTTTTAAAAATTTTGTATTTTTCTGTTTTTTGCATTAGAGTGAATTTAATTGTATAAAAAACACTATATGCTTCAGATATAAGTGGGTGAGTTTGAAGAATTGGTTGAAGTTTAAGTTTATAAATACATCCAATATGTGCTGGATAACCTCTAAGAACGAGGGTAGCTTTGCTTAAGAGAGTGTGTTTGTTGTCTAGTAAAAATACGCAAGAAATCGGAATTTGTGTCTAAAAGTAGTGGACAACCGATGCTACTAGTTTTCTCAACTAGTAGGATCTTGGGAACTGATCGGTATTACCTCCTTTCCCAAGGGATTACACTACCCATAATATAGACACTATTCTTTTTTCAATTTAGCTTAAGGGTATTCACCTTAACAAAATCTTAGCATGATGAAAATGTAATTAACCATAAGTGATAGAAGTGACGATAGGTTTTACACCTATCCAAAACTCACTATCCAAGCCACGCTTTCATAACAAACCAACCTGGTTGTGAATTTAAATGCTTCTTATAGTACCAGACCAACTGGTTCCAGAGCCAAAGATAGGAATAAAGCTATGTTGATGTTTATAGGTGTAGTATTACTACTTCCAAACACAGCCTACACTCCTTCAATGGTTGTCCCAATCCCCCACTCTGGTGGTGGTAAGGCTTACATAAATCCTTCAGAGTCAGGTGTAACTTACAGGATTAACCTGCATCACCTTTCTTAAAGGGTTTGTTCCTCCAGTCACGCTCCATATAGCAGACTCCTGACGTTTCTTGTTTTTTAACAAGACTGTGTCGCAATAACCCTACGTAGTAAAACCTTCAGGTGCTAATCAGCTATCGGAGAGTTGCACCACCGGGGAAGCAAGGGGCTACTTACATTCGCATTTTGGTTCGATTTTATCAGATAGAATCTTCAACAAAAATTTTATTTTTCTCTTTGGACTTAGAAAGATTTGATTAGCATCAATTCTACACCGTTTAGTCCACTATACCGTCTTGCTTCGACACTTTTTTGGTCCGGTTGCATCCACCGCTAGCGTAGCTTATAGGCTTTGTATTGACCACGTAGTAGGCTAATGAGACCAGTACGCAGCCCGATCCACTCTAGCATATGGGTTCCCAAAGAAATAGTGTCTCGCCTGTATTATCGTCATTATTCAGTTTCACGGAATACCTTAAGTGTGACCTAATGAAACTCTAGCCATACCTCAAGCTGCTAGGCTGGCTTCCCCAGGTCGTACTGGTCATTGGTTATACAAACATACAGTAATTCCTTGAAACCAAATAAATCTGTCTTGGCTGGCTTCGACAGACTTAGAACATAAGCATAGAACATTAGTTTTCGTCTCAATCATCATCCTCCCAAGAAAAATAAAATCATTGG